CGAGCCCGGACCCTGAGTCTTACTGTTGATGTCTTACTGCAATGGGGCCGGTCCAAGGGCTTCCACGGACTGCCGGGGCTCCGGCAGCCCTGGGTGCCCACAGGTGGGATGCATGCCCCTTTGGTTAAGGTTTATAACATTTACACGTAGTTGTAGGCAATTGCCTACCCTCTTATTGCTGATCCAGGTCTCTCAGCCTAGGGGTTTATGGTTATTGTCCTTATTAGCACATCTTAGGTGGGGGGGAGCCCCCGGAACCGCTGTGGGCTTCCTCCCGCCATCACCTACAGCATTACAGACCTCTCTGACCAGATGTTCCCCCCCGGTTCTAAAAACCCCCTAAGGATAACCCTGCGGAGCGCTACCCGCCTTGCTCAGACTCGTTACCCCACTAGTTAGTCCCTGCAGAGCTGACCCTGCCACAGGGACTGTGAACCTCGGTTCACCAGTTAGACCCCAAGACCCAAGTGGTCTAGTGTTCATTTCCTTTGCCCCCTCTGTCTCGTCCTAGTGTCGTTTCCCCCTTATACTCTTTTCCACCCCTGTCTACGTCCGTGGTCTCCCCCCCGCTGTACCCCATCCCCTCTCCCCAGCCCCCCCTCCTTTGATCTTTCAGCATGTCTTCCCTCAGGATCCTATCGCTCAATGCCAGAGGTCTCAACATTCCAGAGAAACGGAGGATGGTGCTCGCGGACCTTCACCGCCAAAAAGTACAGGTGGGCTTCCTTCAGGAGACTCATTTCGCCGAGGGGCGTGCCCCTTCCCTTCGGGATCGGCGATATCCGGTAACGTACCACAGCTTCTCCCCAGACAAAAAATCGAGGGGAGTCAGTATAGTGCTCAACCGCTCTTTGCAATGGCAGCTTACTGCAATGTCCGCGGGGGAGGAGGGCCGCCTTTTAATGGTAAAGGGTAGGGTGGGTAGTCACACAGTGACTTTTGTTAACATATATGCCCCCAACCAGGGACAGGTGACTTTTCTGGAACGGGTCCTTCTCCAGGTGGATGACTTCCTGGAGGGCTTACTTGTGATTGGCGGTGACTTTAATTTACACTTGGACCATCTAGTTGACTCCACTAACCAGTCCTCCCACCTGCCATTTGCAGCACTGAAACGCCTGAAAAAATGCCTCCATGCTCACCAGCTCTCTGATGTTTGGCGTATTCACCACCCTGACACTAGAGACTATTCTTCTCTTATATCGATAACATCACTTATTCTGACCACGCTCCCGTGCTCCTGACACTGGAACTCGGCCCCCCAGAGCCTCGCAGTTGGAACTGGAGGCTTAATGAGACTCTCATACAGGACCCCGAGACATCCCCTGACATTGAACGAGACCTCCGCCTCTACTTCACAGAGAATTCCACACCGGACTGCTCGCCTTACACCATTTGGGAAGCACACAAGGCTTACATACGGGGTACTCTTATAAAGCTAGGGACCCACCGCAAGAAACAATGGTTGGGTCAACAGCTCTCGCTTCTCTCACAAATCCATACCCTGGAACTCAGCCACAAAAAACGCCAAGACCCTTCCCTACTCACCCAGCTCCGCTCCTTGCGTGACTCCCTACGGTCCCTATACATGGATAGGGCAAAAGCTACACTAGCCAAGTGCCGCCGCCACTTTTATGAGTTCGGCAATCAGTGTAGCCGCTCTTTAGCACAAGCTCTAAGACACCAACGGTCCCGCACGTTCATTCCAGTCATTAAATCCTCCACGGGCCGGACGTGCCACCTCTCAGAAGATATAGCCGTAGCTTTTCAAGACTATTATTCCGGTCTCTACAATCTCCCCATCCCCCGGGACGCCCAGGCCCTGACGAAGCGGCAACGTAACATTCAGGCATACTTGGAAACATCCGCCATGCCCACCCTTTCACCTGAAGTACGAGAATCCCTAGAATCACCTATCTCCTCAGTGGAATTAGAGGCAGCCATTAAATGCACCAGTGCCGGTAAGGCCCCGGGTCCCGATGGCTTCACCCTCTTATATTATAAAACTTTCCCAGCTATACTGTCCGCCCCCATGCTGGCGGCGTGGAATTCCATCCAAGAGGGTAAACCCATGCCCAGAGACGCATTATCGGCTAACATAGTGGTGATCCCCAAGCCAGACAAAGACCTCACGGTTTGTCCCAGTTACCGCCCAATCTCTTTACTGAACGTGGACACCAAGTTACTGGCCAAGGTCCTGTCCATGAGACTGCTTCCCCATATCCCATCTCTGATTCACCCAGACCAGGCAGGGTTTGTCCCATCCAGAGAGGCCCGGGATAACACCACCCGGGTCCTCAATGTCATACACTCGGCCCTGTCGAAGGCCATACCGAGTTTAATTATGTCCACGGACGCAGAGAAGGCCTTCGACAGGGTTGACTGGTCCTTTCTCCGACTCACGATGGAGCATGTGGGGCTGGGTCCGGGCATGCTGTCATGGGTGATGGCCCTATATTCACGTCCAACGGCCAGAGTGTGCGTGAACGGGATGTTGTCACCCTCATTCCCGATAACCAACGGCACCAGGCAGGGCTGCCCACTTTCACCCCTCATCTTCATATTGACCCTCGAGCCTCTCCTCCGGACCATCAGAGCCAACCCAGACATCCAGGGCATGAAGGTGGGGGGGACTACACACAAGGTTGCGGCATTCGCCGACGACTTACTATTTTTTTTAACGGCTCCGGACATTACCATACCTAACTTATTGGCGGCGCTGCAAGACTATGGTGACTTATCTAACTACCACATTAACACTCAGAAGTCGGTAGCCCTGAATCTAACAATCCCACCCCCCATGCATTCACGACTCTCGCAAAACTTTCCATACAGGTGGTCTTCCACATCGCTTAAATACCTAGGGGTTCTTATACCCCGCAACTTGGCGGACGTATACAGCTTAAACTTCCCCCCGTTCGCTCCCTGCAGGCGGTGGTGTCTCAATTTATATGGGCAGGCAGAGTTCCCAGACTACGGCTGCCGATCTTACGGCGCCCAAAAGCGCTCTACCCGACTTCAACCTTTATTACATAGCCGCTCACTTGTCCCGAGTGATAGACTGGTGCCGCCATGGAGATTCCAAGCCGTGGATCGCTCTAGAACAATCCGTGACTGAAATTCCTCTACCAGCCTTGCCGTGGTGCACCGGGCCTATACCCAGATCCACTCGATCCCACCCGACGGTGGGATCCACATGGCAGGTGTCCAGTCGGGCATTCGACCGGGCGAAATTGTCCATTCAGCCTTCCCCCATGCAACCGATCATAGGTAACCCCGGGTTCCCCCCAGGTCTAGAGGACGGACGTTTCCGTCGTCTTCTGGCCGGGGGCAAATTCAGAGTGATGCACTTTTTGAATGGTCCATCTTGGCAGGCCCTGGGTGCCCAATCTTCTGATCCCGACCTCATGAACCTGGGGACATGGCGATGTCTCCAACTCACACACTTCCTGTCTACCCGGCCTAGCTAAACTCCCAAACCCCCAGGACTCCCTCCAACGGCGAGACATTGGAGGTGGCACTTACCCCTGAGAGATAGTCCGGCCCTCTCCTACCTAACCCACCTTCAGGTCCACGTGGACACACTCACAACCTGGGAGGTGATCCCTACCTATTGCTTCATACTGGGGTCTCCGTGAGAGGGTACCCCCCCCCATTCATATAGGTTCCATGGACAATGGTAGGGTCCCCCTGGTTTACCTAAACCCTAAATGCTTAGTGTTTGCTGATGTCATGTTGTTTAAATGTTATTTGCATTTTCGTTTTCCTGTCGTGCCCGGACCTGCGAGTCCACCTGGACACAACTTCCCTGTTATGTTTAACTAAATTCTGAAATAACTTGAAATAAAGAAAGAATTTATAAAAAGGAATGGCTTTAGAACAGCTCAGGCTGAAAATATAAGAATGTTCAAATTTGATTGCTCGGAGATGCATTACCATTCATGCTATCCTTAAAAGTATATAGAAAAAGATCTAAAGATGGCCATACACCTATACATTATCTGCAGATTTTCTATGGTCAGATGGAAAAAGTGCAACAGATTCCTCCATCTACGCTAAACTGTGTGGATGGAGGAACCTCCCACTGGGCCAAGCTTCAGTATCTTGCTAGTCGGCCTCGCTGGCTGTCAAAATACCTGAGCAAATTGATTGGATGCAGGCATTGTTCAGGTGTTTTGAGAGCCAGCGGGGCAGACTAGAAAGATACTGAAGGTTGGCCCAGTGGGAGGTTCCTCCATCCACACAGTTTAGCGTAGATGGAGGAATCTGTTGCACTTTTTCCATCTGACCATAGAAAATCTGCAGATAATCAATAGGTGTATGGCCAGCTTTAGTTTATCCAGTTCCAGACGAACCAGAAGAAATGTGCTCCATGTGTGGCCCTGCTGGGACCCCTCCACTTACCCAAAGTCAAAGGAGCCAGTCAAAAAACATTCAGCCAAACAATGCCTACATCCAACCAAAATAACATAGCCAGCGGGGGATATAATTAAATCCACGCATGGGGATTTCTCCCATTCAGCCTGCGGGACTGAATGTGAGAAATTCAAAGAGTGTATAGTCAGCTTTAGGTTCATCAAGGTGTACACAGGACTTCTGGTACCAAAAATGGTATTAAAACAATTTAAAAAACTAGCAACACATTCATTCTAATAGGGGTGTCCAGATACCAGTTCAGATACCAGTGCCGATACTTGGCATTTTCATGAGAACTACCAGGGTTGCAGCGGTTGCAGCTGGGACCTGGCTCTGGCTCTTCACCACTGCCCTGAAATCATTAGTCTGTATTGTTTTAGAAAAACTGTCACATGACAATAAACAAAAATGTATCAGTACTTGTATCTGTGAGTACTTGGGCAAGTATCAGTACTTGTACTTGCAAAACTGGTATCTATGCATCCCTTATATATATATATATATGTATAAAAACAAAATCGTACATTAAAACAGAGATGTACAAATCCCGGGAGCTCCGTGTGCTCCTTACAAATGACAGCGGCCTCCTAACTTTTGAATTTTTCTCTAGTCTAGTCTTGGAGCTGGAAAAGTATCTGTACTTATACCGAGTACGATACTTGGTAGCTGAACATCCCTACGTTCTAACCTCTCACTTTAACCAAACCCTTTAAACCTAAAGTGCACCCATGACCAAACAATGGTCATCAAAATATATTTCTAGGCAAAGCCCTTTTGTTTTGTTTTTTGGATAGACCCTCTGTCAAGTTTGGGAATACTTACCCTCAGTGGCGTCACAAGGGGGGCGCGGCCCGCACCCGAGTGACACCATTGGAGGGGTGACACCAAAATGACTCGCAGTCATTTTGGTGTCACCCCCTCTAAAATGTCGGGCGCTCAGTCATGGACCGAACGCCCGACAGTATCAGGAGAGAGGAGGGGACCCGGTGGCATACCTTATCCCGCCGGGTGACTGTCCCCTCCTCTCTCTGCCGGCGTCCATCACTAAGATGGCCGCCAGCAGGTATCAGAATACTGCTGCGCGTGAGCGATGACATCATCGCGCACACGCATGGTGATGTCACGTGCATGCGCAGTGACGTCTCGGCAGGGTGACACTCGGTTACCGCTCCGGGTGTCACCCAGGCTCGGGACGCCACTGCTTACCATTATACATGTCATGGTTACCATTCTACCAAAACCATTGCCCCTCATTGGAAGATTTTGCATCTATTCCTCTTCTGATGGCAACCCAGAATTTGGGATTTTCTTTCACTGATAACAGACACCAGGACAAAAAAAGAGGTGATTCTCCCTAACGGGGGCCCCAGACAACAGTACCTGACCTGATCTAATCCCTCTCCACTCTACCCAAAACAAAGAAAAAAAAGTTTTGGCTTCAGTTGCACGTTCTGGGAATATATACTGATTTTCTCATGTCCCCTTTTCACATAGCCGTTGCTTATTTGTGGGGTCACTGCTTGCTTAATTTATCAAGATTCACAGCCAATCACTCCATAGGATTTACCAATTTGTATTGGCCACTTGATCTAGACAAAGCCTATAGGTTTCATTGGGTATCTGTCCACTGAAATTAACTAGGACCTACTTAGAACAGGTCTAAGTCTCCGCACATTCATCACATATAAGAGTTCCCACAATTTTCACCCAGGATACATACTTTTCTCAATGTAATACAATTAGAAAAACGTATGACTCTTGGGTGAAAGTTGTGTAAGCCTTATGAAAAAACACTTTAAAGTGTAACTATGGGCAAAACTAAAATGACATACAGTATATGCAGTCTGTCAACCTATCATTTTCTATTTTGGGTTCTGTAAAATTGCTGTAAAATTTTACTGCTTGTTGATCCTGCCAGAAAATCTGTTATTTTTCCACTTTCATTAACAGAGTGACAACGCTATTCATTCTGCAGTGAAATAACAGCAGCGTTGTCATCATGTGAACATGGTAGTCTTAGATGAACAGTGGCGTGACAACTGCCATAGCGACCAACGCAATCGCTATGGGGCCTGGGGCAGAGGGGGGCCGTGTCAGGAGGCCAGGGCTCAGCAGCCAAGGAGGAGGAGGCCTGGCAGTGGAAGTGAAGCTGGATGCCGGGAGGCGGAGGATTAGGAGGCCAGGAGGTGGAGGAGGCCGGGGCACAGCAGCGGGCGGCTGACAGGTAAGAGGAGCACAGTGTGCAGGGAAAGGGACCCTGACCAACCCGCCTGAGACTCTAGAGAGCCCACCATAGAGGGTCTAAGGTGGGCTCAGCAGGGTCTCAGGTGGGCTGTGTGGGGTCTCAAGTGGGCTATGCAGGGTCTCTGGTATGTGCGGGGTCCCAAGTGGGCTCTGTGGGGGTCTCAGGTGGGCTCTTCAGGGGTCTCAAGTGGGCTCTTAAGGGGTCTCAAGTGGGCTCTTAAGGGGTCTCAAGTGGGCTCTTCAGGGGTTTCAGGTGGGCTCTGCAGGGTTCTCAGATGGGCTCTGTGGGGTCAATCTCGGTTGGGCTGTGCAGGATCTTAGGTGGGTGCTGTGGGGTCTATGGTGAGCTGTGAGGGGTCCGCGGTGGGCTGTGCAGGGTCTCAGGTGGGCTGTGCAGGGTCTCAGGTGGGCTCTGCGGGATATCAGGTGGTCTCTGCGGGGTCTTAGTTGGGCTCTGCAGGGTGTCAGATGGGCTCTGCAGGGTCTCTGGTGGGCTGTGCAGCAGTGAGCGGCGGAGTGATCGTTTCTTTGGCTCTATCATCAGAGCTGAAGAGAAGGAGATGGAGAAGGTGCAGGCAAGGGAATTTGTTCTGAAGGTAGGTACTTATTTTTTCTTTTTTTGCTATTATTCCACATGCATCTGTACAGAGCACAACTGCTGACGCATTTCTGCCTTACTTGGCCTTAGTCATAGCTAGTTTGGGGGGCCCCATACAGTCATTTTGCTATGGGGCTCTGTGATTTCTAGTTACGCCCCTGCAGATGAATATGCAGTTTTTAATTGATTTTAAGTAAAAGAAAACCAAATCAAAAGCTAACTCCAGCTAACACGTTTTAAACACGTAGCATCCCCGGCTGTGTTACTGGGTTACATGTTTTTTTCCCCCCAACACTGAAACTGTCACTCTTGCTGGACAGCTTGGCCTGTTACAAGAAGTTAAAAAATAATGGATCTGTTGGGAGGATCAACAGGTAATAAAACTACCGTATTTGCCGGCGTATAAGGCGACTGGGTGTATAAGACGACCCCCTAATTTTCCACTTACAACATAGGTTTCCGGCTATACTCGTCATATAAGACTACCCCACTTCCGAGTCAACACCATTAAAAAAAATCATGGATGGATGTGCGGTAATACTGTATGTACGGTAGCTTCAGCTACATACAGTATACCGCGCTGAGCCAATCACGGCGAGCAATGTATTCTATTAACGAATACAAAGCCTGCTTGGATTGGAAGAGGTTGTGTGCATCGCTTCCCGTGATTGGCTCAGCTACTGTATGTAGCCTAAGCTACCGTACATACAGTATTACCGCACATCCAGCGGGCTGACAGATTAGGGATGTTCGTTTTGGGCCAGCTTGGCCTAAACGAACTAAAGGTATACATTGTATACCCCGCGTATAAGACGACCCCCGATTTTCAGGGGATGTTTTTAAGTATAAAAAGTAGTCTTATACACGGGCAAATACGGTATGTTACAGGAGGGACTCAGGAAAACAAAACCTGCTGTGATAATACTAGTGATAGACTGCAAAATATTTATCTTTTATAACTTATATTTGACATATTCGGAAGGGCGGGAATGTTGTTGCTTTTGAAGTTGGTCTAGAAAACTTTGTTTTATTAACCTTATTTCTAAACGTGACGTCAAACTGTAATTTAGGACACTTACCGTGCTGTCCAGGAATCCGTTCCCATCTGTGTCGTACAGTCGAAACATAACTGAAAAAAAATAAATGTAAAAATTATAAAATGTTACTTAACCAATATATCTATAATTCTTTATTTATAAAAAAATAAAATAATTACATTTAGGTCTTTAATAAATCAATTATTTACTGATTGACTGAATTCTTGACTGATCCATTGACTGATATACTGGCCCTAAAAAACTGGCCATAAAAAACAGTTAAAGTGACATTAAACCCTCAGATTTTTTAACATAAACCAATACTGTAATGTGCGCCTTACTGTAATCCATGGTTGTTTCCCTTCTCTTTGCTGCTCTTCCTTTTAAATCCGTATCTCTTCTCATGCTGGGCAGAACTTCTGTTTTGCAGCAGACTGCCTTGTCTCAGGAATGGATACATGGTGTCTGTGTGTACGTTGCACACAGGAAGAGGCACTGAGCTGCAAAGGGAAGTTCTGCTTGTGTCCTTGTGGGCCCCGCCTCCCACTGACAGGACGCTGCAGATGACTCATCGCTCCGAAGTCTCAGAGAGATCAATCTGCTCTCTCTGAGACCCTGGAGCTAGGAGGCAGACTAGGGACGCACCGATATATCGACCACCGAAACATATCGGCCCGAAAATGGCACTTTTGGCTAAATGCCGAAAGTGCAATTTTCCTGCTGATACATCGGCGCATCCGTGATTTCTTTCCTCCCCACTGGGCATTGCTCTGTGTCCCAGCGGGGAGGAGACAAAGTGTGACAGCCGGCCGAGCCCTGCAGAAGGAGAGCGCTGTGAGCGGCCGGCGTCTCTCCTCCTACACTGCTCAGCCTCCTATCACAGTCCGGCAGAGCGGTGTGTGGGCTTGTCACAGGAAGCCGAGCTCTCCTCCCCGCACCGCTCGCTCAGCCTCCTGTGACAGCGTGTCAGAGTGGAGAGCGGGTACAAGCAGTCAGTGATCGCTGAGTGTTTGTACATAATTGAGGACAGAGTATGGTGACTATATCCTCAATCAATTAATAAATAAAAATAAATATTAAAAAATTTAAAAGTTTGTAAAAAATAAATACAAATAAAAAATTTGAAAAAAATTTAAATAAAAAACATTTTCGGTTTCGGCCTGACAATTTTTTTAATTTCGGTTTCGTTTCGGTTTTGAGATTTCCATTTTGGTGCACCTCTAATAAATACATAAAAAAATAATAACAGTCAATGCAAATCTGTCGGCATACAGTTGTAATAGTGCAGATGGGTAATGAAGCCTTGGGTGAGTATGGGTTTGGGCAAGCCTTTGCATATCATAGTTGTTGCCAAATCGAAAGGATTTTTTTTTTTTTTTTACAGAGATTGTACAATCAGGTTGCAATGCAATTGGCCAGCTCTAGGAATAGACCAAAATAGGGAACAGCACCTATTTACACTCTATTACTGCAAATCATACACCTCTTGAGCTTCCCTATTGGTCAAAAAAGGGGAGAGCAGGGGAGAGGAGCTGGACATTAGAGCTGTGTCCTTGTGTCCTAAAAACATTGGTATGGGGAGAGGAGCTGGACATTAGAGCTGTGTCCTAAAAACATTGGTATGGGGAGAGGAGCTGGACATTAGAGCTGTGTCCTAAAAACATTGGAATGGGGAGAGGAGCTGGACATTAGAGCTGTGTCCTTGTGTCCTAAAAACATTGGCAGGGGAGAGGAGCTGGACATTATAGCTGTGTCCTTGTGTCCTAAAAACATTGGCAGGGGAGAGGAGCTGGACATTATAGCTGTGTCCTTGTGTCCTAAAAACATTGGTATGGGGAGAGGAGCTGGACATTAGAGCTGTGTCCTTGTGTCCTAAAAACATTGGCAGGGGAGAGGAGCTGGACATTATAGCTGTGTCCTTGTGTCCTAAAAACATTGGTATGGGGAGAGGAGCTGGACATTAGAGCTGTGTCCTTGTGTCCTAAAAACATTGGTATGGGGAGAGGAGCTGGACATTAGAGCTGTGTCCTTGTGTCCTAAAAACATTGGTATGGGGAGAGGAGCTGGACATTAGAGCTGTGTCCTTGTGTCCTAAAAACATTGGTATGGGGAGAGGAGCTGGACATTAGAGCTGTGTCCTTGTGTCCTAAAAACATTGGTATGGGGAGAGGAGCTGGACATTAGAGCTGTGTCCTTGTGTCCTAAAAACATTGGTACGGGAGAGGAACTGGACATTAGAGCTGTGTCCTTGTGTCCTAAAAACTTTGGCATGGTAGAGGAGCTGGACATTGGAGCTGTGTCCTAAAATGTTTGGACATTTTTAAGGATTAAAAACATTAAATGCAGCTCCATACAGATAGAAAAATAATTATTTTATGCTTTATTGATGATGAAATTACATTATTAGGTGCTTATATGTTAATGTTAAGTTCCTAATATAACAGGTTTGCTTGCTCAATGACTTGGCAGAAAGAGGTTATTGGACCAGGTTGCTGTTGTTATCCATCACAGCATTTGCTTTGATCCACCTGTAATGTAATTGACTCAAAATAAAAGTTCAATTGGGCTTACCATTGTCATTCCAAAGTGTTTAGAAAAGCAGCTTCAACGGTAATACAATTCAATTCCCTTGCATGAAGGGTTGCCAGGCTTGCTGGAAGGTTAATTGGCTCCTGTCTAAATTGGCCCTGTATGTTTGCATGTGAGATAGGGACGAAGAGACTGTCCTTGAGGGCAGGGAGTGATGTGAATGTGCACTGTGCAAAGCGCCGTTTAAAAATTAATGCCGCTATATAAATACCAATAAAAAACATAATGACATTACTGCACAGCATAGTAACA